GCAGTCATTCGCACGTGTTCGCACCTGATGAAGAAGCAAAAGGAGATCAGAGTTGATTCTGGAACCAGGACTCATGTGCCGCAGCTGCATGGATGCAACAAAAATCCTATCCCAACCAAACGCACAACAACCGAAAAAAACCTCCGGAGCATCCAAAGGCATGCGATTTCCTTTGTGAAGTCACCTCAAGGAGTTGTTCCGAGGAAGGAATGCTACTGGTAGGACAAGCCGGAGCTTGTTTCGAGTGGATTTGTGGGACGATGCCAGGGCCAGACTTGCCAAACGATTGGATCTTTGATCCGAATGGCTGGGAATGGTTCCATCCGACGAATTCCCGACGTTGGCCCGAAGCAAGCTCAGCAAGCTTGAGGATCACATAAGGATAGTCACTTGATGGAAATTCAACACATCCAGAAAGACTGTTCCATGTGTTGGTTCATAGAATTCATTGGTCCACACAAGTCCAGTTTCCTATACAGCACAAAAACTTGTCATAGAGCTCGAAAGACTTGTGCTATCCGACAAATCCCTTCGGCCTATGACATGCTGACGTGGACAAGGACCTCTCAAAAGTATCGCTTTAGACTTTTGGAGACGGAACCACATCACAAAAATAGGCAGAGGGGTGCATGTGCACCAGATCAAAACAATTGCGCCAACATGGCCAGGAATGGCCAAGAAAGGCTCAGCGCCACTGAAAGTGATGAGTCATTCAAGGCTGGGGGCCCAGACCACTCACTGGCCAGCTTGCACTCACCTGGGGGGTCATAGCGGATACTCGAACTTGTGTCCAAACAGTTATCCGTTGTTGTCCCACACACCCACAAGTTCAAACAGGAATGCACTTGAATGCACTCTACACTGTTTCTTTGTGGTGTTCAATATTCAGGAAGACCGAGCAATCCAAGGGCTTACATGCCTGAAATGACAGAAGGCTCAAAAGAACACACGCACACACATTCAGGAGGTCCAGGCCCAGGCATCACAACAAATAGCATCCATGGAGGCTATCCCTTGCTCTCTCGCTCTCCCTCTCTCTCTTCCAAAGGCTGTCGAGTCAAAACGCAAGACTTGCAACATGTGACATAGTACATGCACACTGATGACACAGAATCTCCTACAAGCCCCCACCCAGCCTTTCTGTGAAAGAGTGCTGAGACAAACCAAGGTCTGAGTAGAAGCTGAGCCGTGATAACCCACTTGGATGGCGGAAGTCGTACCCATGGTCTGGCCAACAGTCAAGAGGATGTAGTACGGGGTGTCCTTCCAGCACAGCACGGCAGTACACATCAGAAAACCATAAGAAACAACATGAAACAAAACAAAACCAGAAACACTGTCTAAATAGTGTGGTGGGAGCATGACACTGACCAGACATGTTCCTGATCATGTGTATACTCCCAGATTAAACTCTATCGGCTCTATCTTTGGTTCTTTGACAATGCATCATACACGTCTCTCCTGGGAAAGCACGTAGTCGGTGTCATCACCAGTATCGAAAGCACGATGGGCAGAGACCTTCATTCTCCCATTCTCGAAGGTCAAAGTGTAGTCTGTGAGGTCCTTCAAACATCAATGAAGCCATTCCCAACGTTTCGA